TTTGGCACTTGTTTAAGTCTAAAGATATGTTATGGGTTCAATGGGTTAACACTTACCTCCTTAGAGGATGAAGCCTTTGGGAAGTCACCACTCCTAGTCAGTGCTCTTGGACTTGGAGGAAGTTTCTCCAACTCAGACCAGCCTTTCGACCCCTTGTCAACTTAAAAATTGGGGATGGACAAAGTATCAATTTCTGGTTTGACGATTGGTGTTGCTTTGGCCCTCTTTATCAACTCATTTCTCCTCAACAACTTACTGACACCTCCCATAACACAACAACTAAACTTGGCTCCTTCATCACTAACTCAACATGGGTTTTTCCCTTCTCTATCACAAATATCCTTCCACAGTTACACCTCACAAATAGACTGCCATCACCAAACTCCCATAACAAGGACAAGCTCACATGGATTCCATCCTCAACTGGAGAGTTCTCAATACCACTAACCATGAAGTTTCTTAATAGGCACTTGGCAACTCTACCATGGACTCACTTAGCTTGGGAGAAACCATTAATTCCTAAGCATGCGTTTACACTGTGGATTGCTATCAATCAAAGACTTCCAACCCTGGACAGAAAATGCATTACACACATTGATTCGGTCACTTGTGTTCTCTGTAACAATGTTTTGGAATCTCATGATCACATTTTCTTCATGTGTCCATTTGTTAAGCCTTTGTGGACATTTATACAAACACGTTGTGGGTTCCATATCCAACCGACAAATTAGGCAAGTTTGATCTCATGGGCGGCTTACCATTGGAGAGGGGAAGGTTCTTCTCACAATAGCTTAATCTCGAGATTGGCATTGGCTTCCTTGGTCTACAATGTTTGGGCGGAGCGTAATCGGAGGATCTTCATGGGGAGAAAATTGTCGCAGAACTCACTCCTTCATCTCACGTTGGACTCAGTAAGAGCTAAACTCCTATATACCTCCATCAAGAACTTTACCGCTGGAAGACAAATTGTTGAAGAATGGAATCTGCCGTGCTCTATTTTGCGTCCTCCGGCGAAGCTACCAGACATCTAAATGTGGAGGTTTCCTCCATGCGCTGATTGGAATGTGGATCTGCTGGTAACGGCCTCCATTGTTCCCATTTGTGTTTGGGTTGTTTCCTTTGGGCTTGTTTCATATGGATTGCCTTTGTATTTTTCCTTTGGGCTTTTCGTGAGCCTTCTTTTTTGGGGTTGTACAGTCTTATTATCTATAAATTCAATTTACCTTTCAAAAAAAAAAAAAAAAAAAAATGACTGCTAAATTATATGAAAGCTATATAGATGGTTTTTCACGAAAGTATTTTTTTCCTCAAGTAAGTAAGTATGTGTGTATATATAAATGAAGATCATTTAAAAAATTAAGGGACCTTGGAAATTCCCAACAGCTAGCCCATCGACCAACAAAAACAATCCTATAAAGGGTAAAATAACATACATACAAAGAAATAACCCAAAGAACAAAACTCAGCCCAAAAGAAAGGAACAACGTACCTAAACGGGAACTTTAGAAGAAAAATAGAGGAAAGAGATAACTCTATAGACCGAAAGGAAATTCATCAAACAAATCGAGAGGATATGTATTTAATGATTGTGTTTTAGATGGCTTTGTAGACTACTGAAGAAAGAAAGGTTATGTTATGAAGGTTTTTCTATTTTATTCCCACCATATGAAATAGACACAACTGGCTAAGGATAGCTTAGTGAGATAAAACACTGTAGTTTTTCCTATCTCATTTTATATTTTGAGGGGAAAAGGGCATTAAAAAAGAGTGTAGCCCTGTGTTTAAGCAAATGGGGCAATAACGAGGGATGTGAAAGTCGGACATAGAGGATTTTCCTTAAGTTCTAATTTGTTGTTGATGGAGAGCAAAAAAATAAAACTATGTTTAGGGGGGCAGTCTCTGAACCATACAATGTGTTTCTAATGGACAGTAGGACATGGTAGGTTGAAAAGCTCGATCATAAGGGGAAAGCTTAAGTTCAAAGTGTTATAATGTATTTAAATGGTTATGTTAGCATAATCTTATGGGCTAGAAGAGTGAGATTATAATTAGTCATATTTAGAATTTGGCTGGTTAACTAAGAGGGAATGTTCCATTGCTACTGAAAATCATGTTAGTGATATATTTGTGAAAACCTGAAAGGGATATGGTGTCTAAATCAATACTTTCTAATTCTAGTGGTCCTTGAGGGAGCCAATAGTCAAACCATAGCATGGTGGAGCTATATGTTATCTCCAACTAAGTGTTTAATCATCTTTCTAGCCATATAGCTGAGTCTAAGGATATATTTCTATATGGCTGAACTTTAATGTCCAAGAACTCTGACCTATGATAAGATTATCATGACCCTGTCTCTCTAAAGTATTAAGAGACTCGACATTAAACATGTTCCAAATATACTTGAGCATTGCAACCTTGTTCTAAACTTCCAAGTTAATTGGGAAACCCCAACCATGTTAGAGTGTTTCTCAAGTTCATCACAGTGCTTTATTTGAGGTGGAGAAATCTTCAGTTGTGGTGGAGTTATGAAGAGATCCTTGTTCGAGGTGGAATCTAAGCTACTAACATGTTTGAACTAGTTCAAGAACTTTGAACCAGCTCAACTAGAGTGATGAGTTGGACTTTGACTACTGCTTTAGTTGAACTAGTTTAAGGGCACTTGAACTAGTTTAAGTGAGACAGTGAGTTGTAACATTTTTGGAGAAACAAAGTTGAACTAGTTCAAGTATTGTTGAACTAGTTCAACTGCCTTTAGGAAACTAAGTGATTTGTTTTCTTTATTGGTTTTGGAAGCCAGAAGACTTAGGGAAAAAGGTTGAAGATTTAGGGAAGAAGTTGTACCGGCTATTTTAGAGTTGAAGATGGATGTGGTAACTCCTTGTAGGCAAGTTGATCCTTATCCAACAAGGAATTCGGTTTGAAGACTCTATAAATAGAGATGGGTATGAGAGGTTTAGAGAGAGAGAGAGAGAGAGAGAGAAAAAAAAAAAAAAAAAAAAAAAAAAAAAAAAAAAAAAAAAAAAAAGAAGATATGTAAGGGGTTTAAAGGTGAGTGTTATGAGGAGAGGGGAGAATATATGTAATTCCCGAGTATATACATGTAACTTCAAAAGAGATGATGAGTGAGTGAGTGAGGTTTTGACATGCACGTGGTTGTATATTTTCTTCCTTGATTCATAATAATAAAATCTCTCTCTCCCATAGAGACGTAACCCTAGAGTTGGGTGAACCATATAAAATATTGTGTTGTGCATGGATGTGTGTGATTGTTATTTCCATATATGCTTATGTTGATGTGATGTGATGATACTTCCGTTGTGTGTGATGAAGAAGGGATTTAACTTTCAACAACAGTCGACAGTTGAGTGGGTTGGAGGAAGTTAATTATTCCCTAACAATCCCAACCTACCATTTAGGCCTACGTATAAATGACTCTCCAAACACTTTAGCCCCAGTGATCCTCATGTTAGCCCTAGTCCAACGAAAGGATCTTAGACTTTGGTTTATTTGATCAACAACTTTCCTTAGTTAAAATGAGATCATGTTGGACCAAAATTTTGAATACTAAAACACAATAAATTATGAACTTATTCTATATATTCTCTTCCATCAAGTCGAACAAAAAAATGAAAATACATTATCTCTCCTCTAGCGGTCGGGATGTCTCATCAATTCTTTCTTCTCTCATTTCATTCAAATTTTTTCTAACAAAGGAAGTATAATTACGTAGAACAATTTTGATCAAATGAACCCTCCTAGCATAATAGAGGGCTTTGCTAGCTAGTCCAATTTATTCTTGGCTCTATTGGTGATCCCCTCCACCAAGGACTTATTTTTAGTGTCGGAAAGCCTTGATGAGATGGGAGGAATATCCAAGCACTTTATTGGTATATTACCAAAATCAAAGTGGAGGAACTGTGTAATCTGAGCTTTGGAATAGGGATCCATACTAATGCAATCAAAAACTTGTCCTTCGGAAAAGTTGGGGAGAAATACAGAGAAAATAATTGCTCAAGGGCCGATTTCAAGGTAGAAATGGATGTCATGTCAACATGAGTAGACGTGAGAGAAAGATCATTTGCAAATTAAGCAGGGGTGGGAGAGCTTGGAGTTTTTGCACTTATTCAAGAAAGTAGTTCTTAAAGAATAATTTTATCAAAAAAATAAAAAATAAAAATAAAAACTAAAAGAATAAAGTTTAAAATGCTGATGAGATATGATCTAATAATGAAAAGCAATTTAATGTGCAAAACTAAAAAAAAAAAAAAAAAAAAAAAATTAGAAAAAAAGAAGAAAAAATTTGGTTAAGTGTAGTAAATCAGTCGCAATTTTGTTTTTTGGTAAATGAATATATAAATAGAAGAGAAAGGATTTAGTCAATTTACAACAAAGAGGGGCGAGCCTAAGAAAAAGGCCCAAAGCCGAATATTACATAATTTATTTATTTTTCATTCAGAAATTTCAAAAATAAATTGCATAAAAGTTAAAGACGTGTGTCTATCCACACAACTCAAACCAAAATTTTTCCCCTTTTTTTTCATATTGCTTCAAGGAACTCAAGCTATAAAATTTCAAAATCAAAGTTAGAAAAGCAAAGAAGAAAAGAAGAAATGGAAGGTAAATTGAAGTATCAAATCTGGGAGCAAATGGGAAGATTCAGGTATTTACAGACAATTTCAGATGTACCTTTTTCCTCTCGATCAACTCCAAATAATCAGTCTAATCTGATCACCAATTAAATATCTTTCCAGACAGTCACTTATTAACCCCAGAGAGAGAGAGAGAGAGAGAGCTAGATTAGCTGAATCTTTCACTGGGATTGTGGGTTTTAAGTTTGCAGTCTCTATAAATGTAACTGCGAGTCTGTACTATTTCAAGTGATGAAATCATAGGAATAAAATTAAATACAGGAGAATATGCTGATTGTATATAGTATGAACTAGCTAATATATATAATGAAGTTCTATATATCCACTTTCAATAAACTAGAAAACCACCAGTGTCAAACCTGAGATTGTATATATTATAACAAGAAAAGAGTCAACTACGAAGAATACAACACCATATGTAACACAACGATTATTACAAACCTTCCACGTACGTAAAATATGTTCTATATATATAATGATATATACATGTAAAAGAAAGAGTTTCTTACATGTATTGAAGAGAGTCTGCATGGCAGGAAACAATCCTTGCAGGTGCAATTTGTGTTGGTCTGATCCATTCCGGTCCCTATCCATGATAAGCATTAATGATCAAACAAAATCAAAGGCAAATTACTAGTCATTTGCAACAATCCACTAATTTGGAAGAATATTATGTTGTGAACTTGAGCTCAAGTTGAAAGGGTTGATTTGCCTTGGGTCTTTCTCAAGTGGAGTGGTAATATAAGTAGGGTACGGAGGGAAGAGTACTGTCGGTGTTGATACAGACGACGTAGAGGAAAACATTTGAGGTCCAGATGAAAGAGCCAATGAAGATGGCAGCAGCGCCACAGGAGAATGACCGGCTTGGGGATCTTCTGTCTGGGATATGAATCCATGGCTTCCAAATTGGGACAAAGACAAATTTGAAGGCTCCCACTGATAGTAAGGGTAGTACGGCATGACATTGTTTAGAAAGCTTGGAAAAGAAGTGTGGTTGAATATTGGGAAGAAGTTTTGAGTGGAAACTTGTGCAGTACTGTAACCTCCAATTCCATGATCTTGATGTTCTTCCCCTCCTAGTACCTCGCGTAGGCGGGATTTGTACTGGTTAATGCCACTCTCTCTTTCAACTTCCTTGCACTTCTCTCTCAAAGTAGCATCCGTATCCCAAGCTTTCAGTTTTGCCATGGCTTGCTCTTCTCCAACATTGTAATTGATCTTAATACCCTCCTTGTTACACGGCAAAGATTGAGTTCCTCCATCTTTTATGAATGGTGGATTCGAATTAAAGAAGGGAGGGAGAGAAGGTTGAGGGACAAATGACTTGTGGGAAAGCATTGTTGGCTGATGGAACTGATTGAAATTTCCTGGGGGAATTTGGAGTGGAGGAAGCTTATCGATTTCATGTTTAGTGGCTTCAAGCAACCAATCTATGACCTTGCTAGGCTGATTAAGCCCCAGCCTCTCCTGAAGATCATATAACTGAATTGCAGTGTGTACTGAAAGCCTAATCCGCCTGTCTCTTAATCCCCTCACAGTGACAACCTTGCTATGCCTATCTTTTCCTCCAAAGGAACGCGAGGCACGAACAATTCTTGGATTTTTAAGTCCTGACCATTGTGATCTTGAGCTGGATGATGCCTTGGAGAATCTGATATCATCGGTTCCACCTTCCTGCTTAGCTTGAAAACCTTTTTCTCTTAAATTTGTGATCATCTTACTTCATCATTTAGCTGCAAGGAATTGACTAAACCCTATGTTAGTAGATGTATATATCTTTCATCCATGTCTTAAATTAATGGTACTGCTCTCTATCAATTCTAGCAATGATTATTCTCAACGATTCAATGTTTTGTAAGAACTTTTTTCTAACTTATCATTTATATGTGTATAGAAATCTCTCTCTCTCTCACGTACACACACAAATTAATAAATAAATAAAATAATAATATCACATAAATTATGATCTTCAAATATGTCACATAGAATTAACAGATCAAACATGCTACACAAATTATGAGTTTTGTGTAGAATTCATTGTAGAGATTCCAACTAATTCAAGGATTTCTACAAAGAAATTGGTGAATAAACAGTTTTAGTTTTTTCTTTTTAGGGCTGACCACTGGAAAACAAGATCATTCAAATGATAAAGATCCAGGCCAACATAGAAGTAATCTATGAAAACCAAGTTCCAGAAAAGATCTATGAACATGACTAGCTAATTGGAGATCGATTATAAACACAGACTTATGGTGGAAATGATTAACACAAGCCTCACATATTCTTCATTTAGTAAAATAAGTTATAGATCATAAGATGAACTTACAGTGGACTAATATATCATGCGTTTTGCAGCCGATCAGTTTGGTTTTTGATTGTAAAGCACATCCAAGGAGGAGGGAGGAGCCCTCAGTGATAACAAGGTCCTTATCACTCTTAAATCCAAATGAACTGTGTAGATGGATTTATGTTGAAGTATAAGTCCTCTAGCTGCAGATAATAAACTTATTGAATAAGTTACAATTTGGGGAGAAACGATGCTAGAATCTTACCGTGCCATGTTGCACAGGGGGAAAAAAAGAAGAAAAAAGTATGGCATATTTGCAACCACATGCGCTCCTTCGTATGTTGACCTGTCAATTTTTTTGGTTCGTAGAAATTAAATCCACATATTTATACCTCATACTCAACAATCGTCGCCTTAATACATAAGTTGTACGCGTTGGTTATTCCTATATTTCACATTGATGATTCAATATTTTATGTAAACTAAATGTAAATGCATATTAGTATGGTAGACATGCAGTTAATTTAATTGGGGACCATCTAGGGTACACATTATAAAAGAATGGTTAATGCTTTATTGACAACTACAAATAGCTTTATCAGTGAATTCCATAGCATGGATTCAAGAATGCATGCCTAGCTCAGTGAAAAAGAAAGCATGATGTTGAACCCTTTCTTTGAACTTACCCTTCCCTTCTTTTTTTCCCAAGTAAATTTGAAAAATGTCAGCATCCATTTTGCTTTTCTAAAATATTGTTTTAATTTTTCCTAATTAAAAACCAGTAATGATGATAAAATGATGTTTTGCTTAATAATGAAGTAGGATTCAAAGGGATAATTAGTCAAAATTGCAAGGGGTATAATTTGCAATTAAATTTCACATGCACCAGTATTTAATAACAATAAAAGAAAGTCAATTAGATAAGTTCTAAAGTGTGTGTGTGTGGGTCGATATATATACAGTATATATGTGGCTTCAAAAATTGAGATCTATATATGCTACTGAATCTGTATCAGCTGGATGAGATGATAAATAGCCAGCTACCTTATAGAGGAGGGACCAACATAGTTTCTTAAAAGCATCAACTTGATTTTCAGAGGACCACATGTATTTGGCACTGAGATTTGCTGAAGCAAGTTGGACTTTATAAAGTTTGGCGACAATTTAATTAGTTCAAGCTTCCTCATTTAAGTTTATTCTACTAAGGAAAAAAACAAAAAAAAAAAAAACAAAAGGGGGCCTCTTTGAGATCAAAATCATCCAGTTAGTGGGCTGCATAGATTTCATCTCCTCAAATTTTCAATTGCCCAAAATTTCAATTGCTTTCTTTTCTTCTTTGAGCTACTATTTATTCTCCTTCAAAAGTTAGTAAGTTATTAATTATGCAAGGGTTTTGTATTTCAATATTGCCATGAAATGGGTTTTAATTATACCTTTTACTTCTTATAAACTAATCGGTATTATAATCTTTGATCAGCAAAGAGGAATCAGTTTTTAAGTCCAAATCCAAGAATTGACTCCCAAACTATCATTGACAAGGAAAGAGTTTATCACAACTCACAAGCTTCCTTAGTTTCTGTGAAACAATCAGAAACCCTAGAAAGTTGTGAACTACCATAAATTCAAATTCTATGAGCTTTAATCCAAAAGTATAAATAGCTTAGAACAAGAAAGATATAACTCCATTAGCATACTTAAGGCATTTTGTCTCGTAAGTCCTGAAACCAGAAGGGAAAAAAAAAAAAAAACAAACAACTTTTCCATTCCTTATGTGTTAAACTCCGAGGGTATGAGGATATGTGTCTGTATTTGCACGTGCATGTGTGTGAGTATTTGTTGTGTGTTTCTGTTTGGGGAGAGAGAAAGAGAGAGACAGAGAGAAAGAGAGATTTCCCTCAACTAACCTTAACAGCAGTAAAGAAAACTGAGAATCATCAAGGCAATAATTAGAGAAAGGTTGGAGCTGCAGCTGCTTAAAGCTGCAATAGTTGCACCAAAAAATAAGACTGGAGTTCCCTATATATCCTCTGAGCAAGAAACCCTAATTAAGACCTAAAGCCGTAATACTAAAACCTGTTACTTCAACTTGGAAAAGAATTCCTTCCCCCAAATAAAGAAAACCTTGGAAAAGAATTCACTTCTAGTATTCTCCTATGTAAATTTAAAGTCTAAACATAAAAAATAAAAAATAAAAAATAAAAATAAAGAATAGAGAATAAAGTTAAAGAAAACACTAGAAAATGACCATTTCTTTCATGTAATTGTAGCAAACAAATGTCCATCTTTGTCATTGTACCTGTGTGTGCTTTACTTATAAGAGCTCTATTCTACATATAAAGAAAATATATATATATTCTATACAAGACTATCTATAGATTTACAACAAAAAAAAAAAAAAAAAAAAAAAAAAAAAAGGGAGACTAAAAAGTTTTTTAGGATAATAGTTGCACAAATGGAATCTCTCTCTCTTCATATAAAGCAGAAGATTAATTGTGGGTATCACGAGAAGGTTTGGAACTGTTTGTGTACTGCAATTCATTCAATAAATTAATGGGCAATAAATGGACCCCAGAAACAAGACAGCTCTTTCTTTGAACTTGGTCAGACAACAAATACTCATCTGCTTGTAATTGTATAAATATATGAACTATATACTCTTACTCTCTGCAGCAAAAAAGGAATTGTATATATGTGTACATTTCCTAACACTTTGGGAGCACAGAGCAAGTATATATATTCACAATGAACATGACTACACAACGCAAGTGATCATATCTATTTATATACATATATATTTACTTCTATAATGTGTTGACAAAAGTTTGTTGGAAAAAAAAATAATAATAAGAGACAAATTGAACTTCTTATGCTCTGAAATGGCATCAGACTCTACAAGTACATCCAGATTAATTTCAGTATGTGTAATAGCATCATTAATTCCATAAAAATAGCTAGATCTGTCATCTTAATTATCATTATGATTTAACTTCACCAACAATTCAAGATTAAAAAGTATCATAAGATGTTGTTTAAGAAAGAGTACTGTTGTTCTTATTGCAGATTTCTAAATGGGAACAGATAATTAATGCATCCACTTTACACGTTTTTACACTGAAAAGGCATTAAATTATACCTTGAGTGTCGGTATTGGAAGGCTCATTGCTTGATGCAATGGAAAAATTTTGTGAGTATGCAACTCATGTCAAAGGACAGCCATCTTCAGTTTGTGAGAAATAAGGTCAAATGTTTGTTAAATTAGGATATTATTAAATATATACATATATATATATATATATGTATATATATAATTTTGTATAGTAGTTTTTTTTTTTTTTTTTTGTAAGAGTGCTAGCCACAATAGATAGAGCGAGAGTAACGACTCTCACTCGTGATTGATTTTTTAACCAATCACTAAAAGCGAGTGCTGAGGGACAATCTCTCCTCTCATTTTTTTAGAATAACTTCTAAAACAATTTTCCATGATTTTGAAGCTTAGTTTTATGAGTAGTGCTATGAGACAGAGGAGGAAGTATACAATACTCCACAGGTACTTACATGTGATACTCTACCAATGGACAGTCATAGAAATACCCCTTTTATACTTTCTCCATCACAAGAGTTATGAACTCTTCGTAATTAACAGCTAGCCGGATTGATATAATTATTTGAGATTTGTGAAAAGAATCATTTAATATATCTTCAATCTATTGGTTATATGTAAAGAGCTCGTGACTCTTATCTCTTAATAACATTATTCTAGTTTTATTACCTAGGCAATCGTGTTGATGATCAACAGAATTTGAACCATGGTTAATTAGTTCAGAAAAACATTAATTAACATCTTCTAATTTAGAATGTTGGATAGGGTACTGAAAAAGTAAGCATTGAATGGTGAGGGACCTAAAATGAATCTGGTAAATTATGCTATCCATCACCATTACGACTACTATCCTCAACTATCATCATCATGACTGATATATATAGGTGAGAGAGATATTCAACTGTTTCTTAGAATACATATGAGAATAATTAATATTGGTGGGGATTTATAGATACTCTCTCATAGAATAGAGAAATGATAGGAGGAATGATGTAGAGAATCTAGAGATGATGCGTATATGCATATATACGTACATCCAAAAATATTGAAGAGTAAACGTATACAACAACGTACATTGATTTTTGTCTCTAAAAGAAGAAGCATCCAAAATTGTCCTTTCAATATTTTAAAGGATATGTGATGTATATAAATTTGTGTCATTTTCTCTGATATATGATGCAGTCATCTCTAAATACGCTGGTTGTGACAGTGCCTGCAGACCCGTATACACACACACACACACACACACATAGTATATATACACAGAAAAGAGAAAGAGAAGGTAGACTACGTGAACCAATTATAAATGCAGTGTCGACAATAATGCAAAAAGATGGCAGAGAAACTGAGAAAGTGATCAACTGCAAGTCCTTATGGCCGCTTGTCCCCTCCCTCCCCCCCTCTCTCTCTCTAACTCTCTCTCTCTATCAAAATAATACTCATGAAAGATGCAGACAGAGAAAGTGAACTGCAAGTCCTTATGCCCTTGTCCCATCTCTTTCTCTCTGCTAACACAAATTCATACACAATCAGCCACCTCACCTCATCTCCTCTCCTCTGCTCTGCTCTCATCTAATGAATTTAAGACTCACCCTCTCAAAGGCAATATTACAACTACAAAATTAAAATGTATTTAATTTAATTGTTCCCTCATTTATCTATCTATCTGTATAATATATAATATTAATGTATACTTCATTTTCAAGGCCCAGAGCAACAGCCACTATGAAAATTTTGAGATTTGGGCAGTGTCAATTGCAATTTTATTTTTTTTTATTTTAAGGTAAAAGGGTAAGCTTTGATAAATAAAGAGGAATGTCCAATAGGTCCATTAAGGATATTACAAGCCAGGGGCTATGACAACAAGTGTTGCCACAGGATCAGCAAAGAAGATAACAAAACATGATACATGTAATACTCCGATATTTTAAAGGATTTATTAATTTGAATTAATTACTTTTATTTTATTTTAAAATAATTTATTTGATTCAATTTGAATTAATTGCGTTTATTTTAATTTTAATTGATTTGTTTTATTGAATGCTTAGATTAATTGTTTTATTTTATTTATATTTCGTGAATTATTGATATGATGAGTGTTGTGTGTATGCTTAATTATTGATTGAATTGTTGGGGTGTTGATTTTATTGGTATGGTATGACTTGGTTATAATTTATTGTTTTGTTTATGTGCTTAGTGTAATTAGTTTTTTAATTTAAGTGTTTATTTAATTATTTGGTTTATTTAAATTAATTGGATTTGGGCTTAAGGGAAGTTGGACCATAATATATGGTCTTAAGCTTGTATGAAGCCTTATTGGGTTAATTAATAAAGGCCCATTGTTATTCAATTATTTAAATGATCATTTTTGTATTAATTATAAATATATATATATATATATATTTATATATAAATATAATTAATTAATAATTATTATGGAAAGATATAAATATATAGATATATATTTATTGATATATAGGTATATACGATTTAATTAACCAATTGGTTAATTATGGAAGGTATATCTATATATATATATATATATATATATATATATATAATATCTTTATAGATATATATTATTTAAAAATTATTATTTTATTTGAGAGTCTTAGTTGGAATAGGAATATGATTTAGATTTTAATATGTATAAATATACACATAAGGCTTAAGGGTTAAAAGTTTACACGTTAGAAAAATAAAAGAGAGAGAGAGAGAGAAAAAAGGAGAAGGCCGACAAAGAGGAGGCCGAATCTGAGAAGGAGGAAGTTGGGATTGGAAGATACAATCAAAGTTAGAAGCGTCGATTTCGTTTTGAAACCTTCAAACGAGTTTTCTTTAACTTTCCTCTTAGAACTCATAAGGATTTCACCTTGAGTATCAAGGCTTTAATTAAATTTATTTGTTTAAAAATTATGGTTAGATCGGAATAATTAAAAAGTATAAACTATTATGTTTGATTTTTAGATTATTGGATTTTAATTGATATATATAGGTGTTATATGTATATTTTAAAATCAATCTATAGGTGGATTTGTGGCCCAAGAAGGTTAATTAGGGTTTCTTTATTTTCTAGAATTGTTCTGTAATTTTCTGGAATTTTTCTGATATTTTTCTATATTTTTAGGAATTTATTAGGATTTATTTTCCTATTATTTGTTAGGAAAATAATATATATATATATATATATATATATATATATATACACATTACGTAACTGGCGTATGTGGAGCTGCGGCACAATAAGGAATTGATTCAGCGCGGCGCGGTGTACGGTAATAATGTGTATACGCCAATTAGGGCCATATCATTAATTAAACTTATGTGAATTGATATGGTGCATCGCGGCGCATGAAAGTTTGGTGCGCATGTGCATCTGGACCATAGAAGTGATCTGGTCAACTATGGGATTATTTGGTGTATCGCAGACCATGAGAAGATGGTGTACTCGCTGATCTAGACCTTAGATCTATTATAGTTAATAGAAAATAATCCAGTGTGGACGTGTTCATTTGCGCATTGATTTGTGACCATTGGATGCGGCATAAAGGAACTGATGGATTCAGTGTGATGAGCTCACGACAGTTGAAAGAGCTTAGCCAATACCAGCACACAAGGAGGCTTGAATCCAGCGCGTGCAAATGCATGGTAAGCGCGTGGGCGGGCGTGGGAAACCACTGTTGGCCTGTTTCGACACTAGAAATTGAAACGGTCATAACTTAGTCATCTTAAATCGAAATTGGGTCATTATTGAGCTCAAACTTAAAGATTTTTCGTCCTCTTTCCAATGGTATCAATTTCATTATCAGATTCCCATCATAGTAGGAGATATTTATGTTTTAGTGAGACGGTGTAGGAAAATTATTTACCGATCGAGATGGAGTATTTATGAGAAACTATTTTTGACGATATTTAGTAGCATTTAATTTGCTACTAATATAGTAAATTAATAATTGATTATGGAAGGATGATATATTTATTTATTTATTTATATATGTGTATATATGGTTTATTTAATTTATGAGTTGTATGGATAGTTGTATATATATATATATATATATATATATATATATATATATATATATATGTATATGTGATTTTAAATAATTAAAGATTATTAAGAAAGGATTATACACATATATATTTTATAATATATGTGTATATATATGTAAATTAAGATCATTAGTGTTATTATTTTTACTTAATATATCTGGATGGATTGGTTATTAAATTAGTGATATACTTATAATCTGCATGAGATGTTTATGTATGAATTAGCTATCGGTGAGTCTAAAATTGGTACATGGATGAATTATAGGCATAGGTGAGTTACCAAAGGCTTAAAAAAAAAAAAATATTGCCTTATTTATATGAATAAAATATATATATAGGAGGCATGGTTGATTTGCCAATGTATAAATAAATATACATGTGGAGGCATAGTTGAATTGCCAATGTATAAATAAAAATACTTAAGGAGGCATGGTTTAGTTGCCAATATATAAATGAAAATATTTATAATGGCATGGTTGATTTGCCAAAGCGTAATTAAATTGCTATGTGTTAGATGATTAAAATATCATTTATGGTTGTTGTATGTATAGATTGGATTATGATTAGATATTCTTAAATTAGAATTATCTAGTACTTACTGGTTAGTATATTATTTTATATTAATAAAATAATATTGGTGGAGACATGGATGATTTGTCAAAACTTAGATTTTGGATATGTGATTTAAATAATTAAAATCATTATCGTGTTTTGGGATTAAATATAAGATTCCTTGTATTATAACTTATTGTTTAAATGATTAAGCAACTGACTAGGATGGGATTAAGGTTAAAGGAGTTTCTTTTTTAAAAAAAAAATGGTGGATTAGTCATGGTATGATTATTATTTTAATCATTGTTTTATAGGTTTAGAAATTTATTAAATCTATTAATGGATGTGATTAGTATAGTATATAAAATTACTTATATATATGTATATCATGCTATATTAAAATTAAAACTTTATTAAGTTTAGTTTTGATTAGAGATGATCTGCTTATTGGTTTTCAGAGGCCTGGTAGAGAGAGCTTGCTCGTAGGGTTTAACCCACGATTTGTTTTTCAGGTTATTAAAAGAAGTTCCAAGTTTAAAGGTTGAGGATCCGTAACTGAAAGACTTATCCATTCTTTCAGTTTATTTAAAAGTAGGATATTATTATCATTTCATTTGATGTTAGTATTTAATAATGAACTTCTGGATAATAGATTTTGGTTAAAAGATTCTTGAGTTACAAGATTCTCGAGTTGTAAATTTTGGAGAATTATTAATGAAACTTTTATTTAATAGATTCCCTTCAGCGAGTTATTTATTCTTTTTATTTCTTTTTGTACTATGTGCTTGTTTAAATACTTTAATTATTTTGATATCTCTTAATTTTGTGCGCGGATTTGATCAACCCGTATTCTGAAATTAGGGAGTATCACAATACAGCACCTATGCATTTTCTAATACACCACAACTGCTTTTCAATAGTGTAAATTGATCCACCTAGCAATTTCAAATCTGCTTTCAATATCTCCTATTCTCAACAATCATATATCAACATAATACCATCTAATCAATTAAGAACCAGGATTGACCATTTGCATACGAACAACCTTGAAGAAATAACTGGTGGAGAGCTTCAGGAGATCCAATCTTCCTAATTTCTGAACCAGACCTTAGTTTAAGGGATGAAAACCTTACTCTGATGCAACCCTTGATTAGGTGGGTGATGTAAATAGCTGAGGCTGCTTGCATTCCTCTCTTGGCAAATGAAGTAGATGGCACTTGAAAGAAGTAGCTTGTGTGTAATGAAATGGTTCTATGTCCATGTTGCTGAGCACCATGAAATCAGATCTCTCCAATTGTTAGGATTGATGTAGTAACCTGCAGCATGCTGAATGAAATTCTAAATGAGGTTGTTGTAGGACATTTGAAAAATAAATGGTCCACAGATTCTTCAGCTGATAGGCAAAGGTAACAAGCATTGGTATAATGTTTCTTCTGTATTGGTTTAGTATCCAGTGTTGCTAATCTCTCCTTAAGGGCAAGCCAAGCAATAAAACCATGCTTTAGGATGTGGTGTTTGAACCATATAAGATGGTCCCAAGCAAAAACCAGAGAAGAAGCTGCAAAGTAATCCATAGTGAGTCTGTGAGAGTAATCCCTTGTTGAGCTTGGAAGCCATTCCATATGATCTGGATTAGTGGTTAGAAAGGGCAAGCTAAGGAGCTGTGTATTGAAGTCTTGACTTTGGAAGAATGGGATATGATGTAGTGAGCTGGGAATGGTCCACTGATGGTTGGAAATTAGGCTATCAACTATGATTTGGGGATCCAGTTGAAGAATTTTCACATCAGTGAAGCCAAGTTGAATTGCAATGGGACCATTCGGGAACCAGTAGTCATTCCATAAGCTTGTGCTCTGCCCAGCTCCAACTCTATGCTTAACCAAGCCTCTTGCCATACTCCTTAGCTTAAGCAACCTTCGCCAAAATCCTGAATTATTGGAAGAAGCTTTGACAGTCCAAATGGATTTGTTTTTAATGAGGTACCTGTAAGTCCATGCCACCCATAGACTATCCTTTTAGAATACAGTTTCCATAAGTGTTTGAGACTTGGCACTCTATTTGTGAGCTCAAGGCAAGGAAACCCAAGACCACCAACAGATAATGCCTCCAAATCCATAAGGCAAACACCACAGCTGCCAACTCCAAATCATGTGTCGGATAATTAAGCTCATGAGGCTTAAGCTTCCAAGATCCATACAAAATCGGTCGGTCCTCCTACATCAAAACACATCCAAGACCCTGCAATGAAGCATCCATGTAGACCAGATACTCTATCCTGCTCTGTGGGGTAGACAAAACCGGTGCAGAAGTCAACTTAGTCTTCAGCTCATCAAAAGCTTTCTGACAATGCTCATCCCACACGAACTGTACACCCTTCTTAGTTAGATGAGTGAGAGGTCATACTATCTTGGAGAACCCTTGTATGAACCTCCTGTAATATCCTGCCAAATAGAGGAAACTCCGAATCTCAGTAGGTGAAGTAGGTTGTCCCCACTCAACCACTGCTGAAACCTTGGCTGGATCCACCGCTATTCCCCTTTCTGACACCACGTGACCCAGAAATTTCATTACCCGCTGCCAAAATTCACATTTCTCGAACTTGTCATACAACTGGTGCTCACGAAGCGTCTGCAAGATTATCCGAAGATGTCTAGCATGATCGTCCTCTGACCTCGAGTAAATCAAAATGTCATCTATGAAGACAATAACAAATTGATCCAAGTAAGCGCTGAAGACTCTATTCATTAGATCCATGAAGACCGCTGGCATCACCCGAAACGCATAAGATCCATTTCTAATGAGAAACGCCTTCTCAGAACATCTTGTTCCCGAACCCGAAGTTAATGATATCCAGACCGCAGATCAATCTTAGAGAAATAGGTAGCTCCCTTCAACTAATCAAACAAGTCATCGATCCTAGGCAAAGGATACTTGTTACGAATCGTAACCTTATTCAACTCCCTGTAATCTATACACAGGCAAAGTGAACCATCCTTCTTCTTCACAAACAAGACCGGTGCTCCCCAAGGTGAAGTACTTCAGCGAATAAAACCCTGGCTGAGTAGCTACTGAATCTGATCCCTCAGCTCACGCATTTCTACTAGTGCCAGCCTATAAGGTGCCCTAGCAATAGGCGTAGTGCTTGGAGCCAAGTCTATCACAAAGTCGATCTCGCGACTAGGTGGCACCCTGAAATCTCCTGAAATACATCCGGGAAATTCTGTATAATTGGTATGCTATCCAATGATACAGTAGTCCCCCCCTTCGTTTCCTCCTCCACATGAAACAAATAGGTGCTAATGTCTCCACTAGACCGTGGCATAGCAATGACGTACATATCCTGACCAAGGATGGTGAAAACAATAGACTTATCCAAAATAAATAACTCGAGCATGGCAGTGATAACCAATCCATCCCAAGTATCAAATCATAAGTGTGCCTGTTCAAGACCAAAAGATTTGCTAGAAATCTGAATCTACCAATATCTAATGTCACAGGTTCATCTTATATAAGTGTATCACCAATTGATCTATGAAGATTCCCAGTTTCTAAATACTCCGTAGAGCAGAACACAATAAGTAAACAAAAATACTCCGCAATATTCTCTTTTAGATTTTCATTCTATCCTGGGAAGTCCTCTTTCCAAACCAAACCTACTATATTGATTTACCAGTTCTTTTATAAACTCTTTGGTAATCGTTCCGTTTTTACACTACGAACCTATAAGCAAAGCTTTGTGTGTTTGCTCAATTACAAATCACTTTACTGTGACTTTCCTTCCTTATCACAACGTACATATTCTAATATAATTTAATAAAACCATTCATGTATACATCACAACACAACTTTCATTAAACACAATAGAGATAGCCAAAACTACAAGTTTACTTTATTAAGAATTTTTTCAAACCAAAACTGTCAAACAAATAACCGTAAGGTGTTCTTGAACATAATCCTAATGTACATGATTAAATCCGTACTACGTTCTTACTAATACCTCCTCCACTACTAGCAATTAAAAGTACTCTTAAAAGAGCAGTCATCCTTGAACTCCGGTGCCCTCCATCTTAGATGCTCCGGTATCTCCTCCATCCTGATCTTCTTCGGGGTCTTCCTCTCTGCTTGGCTCAGCTTCGAGCACCACCGAAGTTGTGTTAGGTCCACAGTATGGTGGCCAATCCCGCACACAAGAAACTTTCCTTGACTTGTACTCCGATGCAACACCTATTGAAATCAACTCCCTGGTCTCCAATTCCACCTTCTTGGTCGGCCTTCGTAGGGGAATCACCGGAGTAACCTTCCTTGGCCTTGGGCCCTTCTTTGCTTTCATCGGGGCCCTCACCCTCTTCCTAGTGCCAAATATTCTGCAATTACAGAATAAACTTGACATCAGTAACTTCTAAACGGACCGTAAAGGAATACGACGAATCCTAAACTTAAGCACTAAACAATAGAGAACGTTACGCGGAAGTCTTAATATAAAACATCATAGAGACACTTGATCCTGGAGTGCTCTGATACCAACTGTGATACCCCTCGGATCCGAGACACGAGTTGATCAGGCCCAGGCCCAAACCCGAGGGATATCGAACAATTAAAGTATTTTAAATCAAACACGGAATACAAAGCGAAACAAGAAATAAAATTAAATAGCTGGAAGAAACTAAATTAATAAACCTTGAATAATAAATATTTAAAATCTGACAATCCAAACTCCATAAGTTTACAACTCGGAAATCCATCTCTAGTGGACCTCTACTAAAAATCCAAACCGAACGAAAATAAATAACTGAAGATAAAAACCCAAATCTAAAATCTGGAAAGAAGTCCTACGTCGTCGGTAGAATGGAAGATCGTCTCTACTCAGCTCGAACAAGCCCTAAGACTTCAAACGTCTAATACCTAAAAAATGATAAGTGGGTCAGGCCCACTAGCAAGTTCTATACTACTACTACCTAAGTAGAGACCCGATACGCATGTACATCCTAACCAATCCAACAATAACTAAATAGTCCGTAGATACATATATATATAATCACACTACAGGACTCTCACTAGACTATAGGCCCGTCTCAACCTGACTAGTAGGCACCATGCAAAACGCACCTGAGGTGGGCATGACTACCTAGGCCTAGCAGGGTACACATCCAAACATCATAGCCAGCTATGCATCCCAATGCATATACGTTCCCTAGCCAACGACTCTGAGACTCAAGCTCATATCGTGGCACCATAAAAATATATTTAAATTCCATTCCAAACCAAGGTGTCATTCAACTATTTAGTGATTTGACACAAGATACCGGTTGGACTTAACTTTTGTAGTCAATCCATCCCTTAATCCAGAGTAGGCGGGACTTAGCGTTTTTGAGCTAATCCCCCTAGTATGTCACCGTCCCATACCGGTGCATACAATCCATCCATCCAGTGTTGATAATACAAATGACAATATACATTTCAACATCAACATATCCAATATAAGCATAACAAGAATATATAGATAGCATGCTTGTTCAAAACTACCAGTATATGATTCTCCAACAGCTTAAGAATGCAGAGAGTAAGTGTAATCCATCCTTTAATCCCCTATCAGCATACTAATATCAAAATTAGAATTAACATGCTCACATAAATTACTCCACACCATCTAGTAAGTTGATAGCACATAATAACTTGTAACCAATCAACTAATTCCCGGTTAAGTATAACCGACATCATATGAATTAAGATGCTTAATCCTATACCACCGTCATATGATTTAAACGTAAAATTCCTAATTCAATTGCTAATTTTAAAACAAGCAACTTGAATTATCTGCATCATAGTAAAACTGATCACATTTCTAAGAGTTTCCGGCTGTTCCTTATTTTAGCTTCTTATAGAAGATTATGAATTATCAGGCCTTCTAAAAATTTAATACAAGTTTAGACCTTACTGAATACCTTTAGAAACACTCTGTTTTCAGCCTAGAACAAGAAGAGTTCAATCCCCATGGCCCAGGTCTTGCAGGAAATCAAAACTGCAAGCAAAATCGAAGGAGCCAGCTCCACCCAAGGTGGAGCCGCCTCCACATCCTAGTAGAGCCGGCTCCACACATGGTGGAGCCGCCTCTAAAGCCCAAAGAGCCGGTTCTACCTAAGGTAGAGCCTGCTCTACCCTTTTGTTGAGCCTGCTCTACTCTAATTAGAGCAGGTTCTTCCCCTGTGCGTCTTCGTTTCCAATTCCAGCGATGTCCGGCAACTGTATTCCTCAAACCCAAGTTTATTATTGATTAAAACTCAGTCCTAGAGTGTTCCAAAGTTAATTAAATTCATTGTTCATTAATCAAAACTAATTGGAACAAGAATTATTCCAAACAGATTAAAAACAAGCCCAAAAACCCAATCGGTAACACACACGATGTTGAACAATTTCTATGCAACCAAAAATTAATTTAACGGTTTACTTCCTCCTGGGATTGTATTAACGATGCACAGAAACGTCCTCCAGAACTATTTAAACTCATTAAACATTAATCAATTACCATTAGAACAAGAGTTATGCAAAACCGTTTAAAAACGAACAAGTTGCAGATACAAAAAACACATACTGTTTTAAAAACTAAATAACCATGCAAACCAAGTTAAAATAAATTAAATTAAATTTATTTCATCCTGGAATTTAATTAGGGATGCAAAGAATACAGGCCAAAGAGATAGAGTTAGTATTAGAACTTGCCTGTGAGATTCGGTTCAAAAATCTTAACGTCTTCCTTCTAAACTTTTCCGGTAATCCTTTGGTTTTCCCTTCTCTGTTCTCTCCCAGACTCCTCTACACATCTCTCTGTTTTCTGTATGCCGTGAATTGGGTTCTAAAACCCTAAACTAAAACCCTACATGTATTTATAGGCCACCCT